GAGCATATGTCTATAGGACTTTTTTTCTTAGTTTTTTACTCCTCTACACGCTCCCGAAGTTTTGCCATTTAATTTGGAAACACCCTGTATTTATTTACTGTAAGTAAATGTTTACTTAGTACTGTTTAAAGAAATATGTATTAAGATTTAATAAATTTTTTTTTCAGCGTACTGAACGCAATCATTATATCTTCTATTATTGATTTCTTGGAACGCAATCCGAAATAATCGGAATGCGCACGATTATTCCTCGAATTTGCGGTATGTCAGTTTAATATGATTTAACAGTATAAGAGGATCTTTCTTGATTAGATATCTGTCTAGAACAGATATCTAATCAATATCATTTCACATAATACCATTTCATAAAAGATAATATATCTCGTTTTCCTGGTAGAACCTTTCGTGACTTTCTCTCATCCCTTTCCGTTCTCTTGGCTGCGGTCCACTTGACGCTACAAACGCTTCGAAGCATTCTTTGATTAGTCAATTCGTAAAATTCTTTGCTCTGATTGGTCGTTCAAACGCTTCGAAGCGTTTGTAGCGTAATCAAGTGGACCGCAGCCTTAATGATATTTTTGTTGCTGGAATTCAAGACGGAGAGGAAGCAGGATATAGAAGAAAAAGGATTTAAAAAGGACTATCCCTCCTGCTTTTTGCCGCGACGCAGGGTATGGGGGGGAGTCATTCGTCCGGTTGCAGCATCATCGCATCTGATTACACGGGGAGATCTCTCGCCCTCCTTCCTCACCCTCCGCGCTCGTTAACATCCGCGTTATCGTCAGGATCGTTGAGAGGTTCGCGCGAGAGGTCATTATCATTATCCATAAATTACCGCGCGCGCGAATCTCAATTTCATTCACCGCAACCCGCCGGAGAGAGAGGGAGAGGACATTATTCGACGGAGTCGTCCAGTGGCGTACAGAATGTCGATACAAAGCGGACAAAAGGGAGAGAGAATGAAAGACGAGTTTATCGTGAATTTGTTAAGGAAAATATTTATCAGAAATAGAGGCAGTTAAAAAAATAAATAGATAATACATTCTCTGTCAGTTTTTTGAAAAACTGAGCAATGCAATAGTTTCACTCCGAGTATAAATGACATTTAATTGAAATAAAACAATTTCTTATATTTTTCATTATCGTGCTATATATACGATAAATATATAATATGTTTTTTCTTATTTTAAAGAAACGAAATTAATATAAATCGGAATATTGAAGGCTTGAAATTGTTACGATTATTAATATATATAAATTATTAATATTATATATATTTATCAATTAATAATATTAATATATTCGTATATTAAAAGGAAAAAAAGGTCAAACACGAGCTAAACAATAAGATGATAAATCTTTATTAAAACATTAATCTCCCAAAGGTGTAAGAGATATTTTTACAGCTAATAAGTAGTTAATAAATGGAACGTTTCGATTTAGTCATCTTCAGCCAGTTAATAATAATAAAAGTATTTATATGATGTTAAAAAATTATTGAAGCAATTATTAAAGAAAGTAAAATTAAAGTAAAATTAAATATTAGAAAGAAAATAGAACAAAAACAGGAAAAAGAAACCATGTCAAAGGTTGGACAAATATACTACAGAAACTAAAATTATTAAAAATTAAGTCTTCTTTGTAATAGGAATTGTCGAAACTATTACAAAGAAGACTTAATTTTTAATAATTTTAGTTTCTGTAGTATATTTGTCCAATCTTTGACATGGTTTCTTTTTCCTGTTTTTGTTCTATTTTCTTTCTAATATTTAATTTTACTTTAATTTTACTTTCTTTAATAATTGCTTCAATAATTTTTTAACATCATATAATTACTTTTATTATTATTAATTGGCTGAAGATGACTAAGTAAAGTCGAAACGTTCCATTTATTAACTATAATATAACTTAGTAGCTGTAAAAATATCTCTTTGGGAGATTAATGTTTTAATAAAGATTTATCATCTTATTGTTTAGCTCGTGTTTGATCTTTTTTCCTTTTAATTATGTTTACATATTCGAGCAAGAAAATTATATTATATTGATTAATATACATTGGATGCTTTCAGCAAGGACACAGTCAGACACTGGCTGCGTT